CTAAAATTGAAGAAGAATCGAATGGAATTTGTTTATTATGTTCAATTAAAAATTGTAAAGTGTGTGATTGTAATTTAAAGACATGTATTGTTTGTGAGGATGGATATGTTTATGATTCATACACCAAACAATGTACTGTCAAACCAGGTGATTTGTGTGAAGTATATAAAACATCATCATGCATTAAGTGTCGAGATGGTTATGCAGTTGATTATATTAATAACAAGTGTATTAAGTGTGGTAATAATTGTAAAACATGTAGATATACTAATGGTCATTTCAAGTGTCTATCATGTGACTCTTCATTAAATTTGTACTTATTAAATTCACAATGTGTTTCTCCGACAAATGAGAAGTGTAATGTTGTAGGATTTGATAGTTGTAGATCATGTATTAATAATACAAAGGTAGTTGATGGAGAATGTAAAGAATGTTCAGGACATTGCTTGAGATGTTCACAAGATGAGTGTCTTCAATGTGACACATCAACCATTCTTCAAAACGGTAAGTGTGCTGAAAATCTGGATTGTTTAATTACAAATGAATATGGAAGTTGTTCAAAATGTGTTTCAACAAAAGTATTAAATTCTGAAACTAGTCTTTGTGAGTCATGTCCAGAGAATTGTAAAGAATGTTTATCGTCAACAAATTGTCATGAATGTATGAATGGTTATGTTTTATATAATCAAACTAATTGTATAAAATTAGCAAACACAAAGTTAAGGTTGAAAAGATTAACTAATTCATTAATTCATCATTGTGAAAAAGAAACAACAGTTGGATGTCAACGTTGTGATAGTGGATATTATCTTACAGATATTTTGATGTGTGATCCTTGTATTGAAAATTGTGAACAATGTAATAATCCAACAACATGTCAAAAATGTTCTTCAGGATATATTTTAAATAATAGTGTCTGTGTTAAACAAGGAAGAAAAGGTTGTAAAGTTATTACACAAAATGGTGAGAGATGTGCAATATGTGAAGATGGATATTTCTATAAAGATGGAAGTTGTGAAAAATGTGATTCTTCATGTTTGACATGTTCTAAAAAGAGTTTGTTCTGTCTTCAATGTGCTGAAAACTTCTATTTTGTTTCTTCAAATACATGCTATAACTATTCAACTATTGAATATTGTTTAGCAGCAAATGATAATGGATGTACATTGTGTGAGAATGGGACGTATTTAACAAATTATGATAGTCTTAATAAAGCATACTTACCATATCATCATTGTCTTCACTGTCATGAGTACTGCCTTGAGTGTGAACAAGGAAGTGGTATATGTATACAATGTGATTATACACATGCTTTGGTATCAGGTAAATGTGTAAATGCATCTGGAATTCCTCATTGTACAACAATTAAAAATTCAATTTGTGTTTCCTGTGAAGGAGGATATCAAGTTGATGAAGATGGATTGGTTTGTTTAGAGAAATCAAAGTCTGTTGTACCAATTGCAGTTTCATTAGTTAGTTTAGGTGTGATAGTTGGAGCATTATTATTATTTATTATCATTATATTTATGGTATTTTTAAGAAGAAGAAAAATACAACAAGAAAAAGAGATGAGAGTATTTTTGATGAAACGATCAAATGTAATGTTTAAACAAGTACCAAATTCACCAATTTGTATTAGTAAAACAGTTTTACATTTTGATGAAACGAAAATTGAAATACCTGTAAATAAAGAATCAAAAGACCTTATTTGTATTGGTAATTTAGATAAAAGGAAATTAAAAATTCAAATGACATCAGTAGAAAGTTGTAAATATGAAATTAGAACAGATCCATCAGTTGTTGAATTAAAACATGGAGAAGCATGTGAATTTCAAATATTTATTACTCCATACTGTACATGTTCTATTAATAATTCAATTAAATTAGTTTATCTGGATTATAAAGAAGGTATTCAAAAGGATATTGATATTGGAATTAATACTCAAACAGAAATGTCTCCATTTATTGATGCTGATGAATTAAAAGAAGATAAATTTTTGGGAGAAGGTTCTTTTGGTATGGTTTACAAAGGAGTTTATAGAAACATTACAGTTGCTATTAAAAAGATGAAGACAAATGATATAGATGAAATGGAAAAAGAGCTTGAAATGTTGAATAAAGTTAAGAGTCAATGTATTATTAGGTTCTATGGATGTGTTCAAACTAATGGAAATGTTAGTCTTGTTATGGAATTGGCTGAATTTGGATCATTTAGTGATGTTATTCAAAAGAAGAATCTAAAAATGAATTTAAGAGTTTATTTGGATGCTGCAAAAGGTGTTGAGTACCTTCATAACAACGGAATTATTCACAGGGATATTAAACCTGATAACGTTCTTATTGTTAATAATAATATTGACGCAGATATATGTGGTAAATTAACTGATTTTGGAAGTGCTCGTATGATTAATATAATTAGAAAGAATAGAACGTTTACAAGTGGTATTGGAACTCCAATATATATGGCTCCAGAAATCTTAAATGGAGAACATTATGAAGCACCTGTTGATATATTTTCAATGGGTGTTATGTTATACGAAGCGTGCTCATTTATCAAACCTTATTCAAACAAAGTTCTGTTCCCAAATTCATGGTCTGTTCCTATGTTTGTCCAAAGTGGAAAAAGATTACCACAAGTAGAACCAATTCAAGACGATTGTTTCAATGTTATTCAGAAATGCTGGGAAGCAAATATTGATTTAAGACCTGATGCCTCTCATCTTGTTCTTTTAGCAAAAGCATTATACCAACATTATTCTAGCCTTGCCAATTAGTGGTTTATTAAATGTTTTGTGTTATTTTATTTTATTATGAATATACTTAATCAACAGATAATATTATAAACGATTCTTCTAGTTTTTTTTTTAAATAATTTATTATTGTTATGAAATAATATTTAATATAAAATTATTTAGAATATGAAATTTATTTAATTTAATTTAATTTCAAACAATGAAAAAATTGATTCTTAATAACTTAATTTTGGTGTTTCTTCTTTTAATAATTTAATATACTACTCTCTTGATAACATTGAATAAATAACTTAAATATTATGACTCATCAAAAAATAGTTTAATCACTT